AACCAGAAAAACAGTTATTCTGTTTTCCAGAATTCTACTACACATTGAATATCCCTAATCCCMAAATCCCAAATCTAAAATGATCTAAAACCTGTAAATTTTTGACCACAGATAATGACATATGTAGAAAATTCCACACCATGTAACTTTTGTATTCTGCACAACATTTTAAAAATAATTATTAAAAATAAAAATATTATTTAAAATATAATAAAATTATCTTCAGGCTATGTATATAAGGTATATATAAAACATATATAAATTTTCAAAATCCCAAACATTTCTGGTCCCAAGCATTTCAGATAACAGATCCTCAACCTGTATTAAGCAAGGAGAATTCTGTAAACTTTGCAGGTTCTTTGCCATGGATGCTAGCAAATTCAGGGTTAAATTTTAAACCACAGAAATAGTAATGTTTTTAGCTAAAAAAGGATTTTTTTGCTTCCTTTCTCTATTATGTTAGCATCTAATTATTGAGTGCCTACTATGTGTTGAACTCCTCTCTTATAGGCTGAGAATATAGCTGTAAATGGATTCTTTGCCCTACGAAGCTAAAATTCCTTTTTTTTTTTTTTGGTGGTGGTGCTAGGGATAGAAACCAGAGCCTCACACATGATAAGCATGTGTTCTGCCTCTGAGCCTTACCCCTACCCTTAGAGCTAACATTCTAGTAGGATAAAAGACTTAAGTAGTAAGTTGAGAAAAAAATTTTACCATCTACTTATTGTGGTCTTGCCTTCTCTTGAGTGGTTCTGAGCATCTGTACTATGCTTTAGTTACATACAGGCTCAAAATGTCTTTGAAAGATGTTAAAGTGCAAATAACACAAGCTAATAAAATAAAATGCACAATTACACATTAACCTCAGGGTTTGCACACCATGGCTGTTTTGAAAGGCACACCCTTGGAGGGGAGGGGAGAGTCAGTCATGAGCAGAAGGCACGCCCAGGTTAATGGTGCTTTAGTTTCCCTCAAGTGTACCAGGAGCAGTTGCTGTGTCACCTTATGGTGATCCCAGGTGGATCTTGACATTTATGTCAAACTCTTAATCTTCAGCAAATATTTGGTGGAGCAAAAGTTTGGGCGGGCTGGCAAATACCAGGAGGCGTTATAGATTCCCATGCACCTCCCACTGTCGATAGGCTGATTCTAAACAGATATTGTTTTCAAATGTGAACTTCCTTGGTCACATATTTTGTTAACTCCCTGTGCATGTTCCATTCTTTCTTAAGGAAATTTTTGGGCACTTCATTCATAGATTATTTCTCATTGAAATTGTAGACTTCATGATTTCTCCCGAAGTTCCTATCATCTGAATTCTACAGGACTCATGTTATACTATAAAATGAGGAACATGTAAATACATTTTTAGTATTTTGTTTTAGTGTGTGTGTGTGTGTGTGTGTGTGTGTGTGGTTCTGATGATGGAACCCGAGCTTTGTGCATACTAGGCAAGTTCTCTGCCACTGACCTATATTCCCAGCTCTCATTGAAGATTTCATATTTGGGATGTTGATCATACATTCTGATGTAAGTAATTTTATCATCCTAAATTGTCATGGCATTACTGTCCCTGTATTTGGGAAAACACTTATGTTTGAATTCATGAATATATTACCTACATATAAATATAAATGTATATGATTCATATACATTTAAGGCTATAYAAATGACAGAAAAGAGACACTTAGAAATTATGAATAACCTTTGCTTTTAAAGTTGCCKACTTTGGGAGATCAGTTATCTGAAAATCAAAGCTATGATATTTGGGAAGATTCTCTATGTTGTTAGCCAAAAAAATACTTGTGGGATATCTCCTTGCATGATCCTCTTGAGGCAAGACACTGTTGGTTGTTGAAATGAGAAAGAGTTCCTCGACTTGGAGGAACTAGGAGAGACAAGGGATATGAACAAGAAACAACAGAGCCTCGAAGAAGAATGAATTCTGTTACAAGCAACAAAATCTAGGGTTCTACAGGGAATGATAGCATATACCTGTAATCCCAGCAACTGAGGAGGCTGAGRCAGGAGGATCACAATTTCACAGGCAGCCTCAGCAACTTAGTGAGGTCCTAAATAAYTTAGTGAGACCCTATCTTGAAATAAAAATAAAAAGGGCTGGGGATTTAGCCATGTAGCTCAGTGGTACAGTACCAAATCCCCAGTACCAAAAACAAAATAAAACACACTAGGCTTCCTGAGGACATAATACTCCAAGGCTTCTGAGCTCTGTGCTTTCACATTGTGAATCATATGATGGAGTAGATATTATTTCTTGATTATTTCTAATTCTCAAACTGCAGCAAAAAAAATAGTTTGAACATTTGGCTAAAATTAAACCATCAGGAGTGACAGATGCATAAATGAAACTTGTGTTTAACTGCTAAAGTTCTCTTYTCCCAYGGGGGATATTATGGGAAATTAAGAATTTAGATAAGGGCATAAATTTTGCAGTCTATTTGTGTGGAATATTTTTAGAGATGTTGAAAGAGCTAGTACAGTTTTGAAAGAAAGATGTTTGATGTTAGAAAAGAGCTGACAGACACTTAGGCTCTGTCAATATCATACACCCATTTGACTGGTGTGATGGAGAGTTGAGGCAGGGTGTAATCATTTCAGTAATCATCTCAAGATGCACATACAAGTGGGAATAAACATATAGAGATGGTAGGAAGAGCATGACCCTGAGCAATGAGCCCTAACTACCTCTGTGGTAGGGTTTAGRCAAGGGTGGAGTTGAGAGGTGAGATATTCAGGAGAATCTTTTGTTGCATATTTCATAATCTTTTTTTTTTTTTAAAAAAAAGAATTAACATTAGGAATAACTTTAAGTAGAGCAATTCCATTTCCTCATTTTCCTATTTAAATGATGACAAAAAAGAATGAAAGTTATTGATTCAAAGATTTGATACTATAAATATATTTAAATCAAAGTAACTAGGGAAACCAAAATGGGAAAAGCTTTAAAGCTTATTTTTCTTGTTTTTGAAACCAGGTAGTTCCTAGACTACATCTGTTTCTTGCTTCTCCTTCTGTCCCTCCTTGCTCCCTTTCTCCTTCTTTGCCATGACATTCTTTTCCCCGGAAAGGGCCCTTGGGGCAAAAGTCAAGATGGAAAATTTATAAAATCTTGTATTTGATGCAAAAAAAAATGTACAATATTACAATCAATTTCTTAATAAGTACACAGGATTCTTTTCCTTTCCAATAGGCAAATTATCATTCTAGAAAGATATGTCACATTTATCTAACCGTTTTGAATGCCCCTCTAAACAGAATATTTTATCCCARTTTTGGGGATGTGAACTAACAGCTCATTTAATGCTGTAACAGTCATAAAAGGTATTTTACAAGGAATATCTGGGGTTATTCCTGGTATCTTCTTCAGTTTATCATCTTTAACYATCAAGTTGAATCTTTTGCCATATCTAGACTTTACATCCAATTCATCCATTTCTCACTTAAATGCAAACTCTACCCAATTGATTTCTTTATTCTCCGATGTGATGATTTATCAGTTGTAAGTTATAGTCAGAGCTGCTTTGCTCAATATTTKCTCTCTGTGCTGGGATTTAATCAGGACACAGCCGTTTACTCTAGATGGTCTGAATTTCCAACTGGAACTCTGGAGTCACCGTAACCTTTGATAACCTCCTCAGTCATACCATTAAAGAAGCAGAGACACTTATCTTGGCCTGCAGATTTCAGTTGGTGTCTCTTAAAGTGTCAGGTTGATTTGTGAATCTGAATAATGTTCCTCTATACAGTCTTTTTTTTAAAAAAAAAAAAAAAAGGTAAAGAAATCATTGTCCAGTGTAATCTAGATCCTCATTCTGTTGTGAAGTTTGTGAGGTCAGATTTAAATTCAATTTCAGCAATAAAAGAGAGTGGTCTGGACAGGGAACTGACACAGAGCCCTGAGATACAGACCCTAATTTTCCCGAGATGCTAGAATGAGAAAGAACTAATTTGAATTATAAGAATGTGTAATCATGTATTTACAGAGCAGATATTGGCTAAGTAATTCTGTAGGCCTTATCTACTATTAGCAATAGTATGTCAAAAAGACTTATTTTAAAAAAAATCTGAATAATCAAGGTGAGTATTCAAGTTCTTTTTTCCTTGGGAAAAAACTGGAAGTTATTTCTATCATGTGAAAAGGATTTAATTTCCATATACACAGGACTGACTAGATTTTGAGTAGTTTTCTGTCAGAGAAATAGGCTTTATATTTGTCCACAGCATTCATACTAGAAGGCAATTAGTATTTTTAGAAAATGCTAAGAGGTAATATGAGACTGAAATCATTCTGAATCAACTTCATATATTGGATTCAAGACAGTTTCATGTGTAGTTTAAGACAACAGGACATGAAGTTATGTTGTGATATTTAAATTTAACTGGACTCCACACACTGCCCTGTAATTTCTCCTACTAAACTTCATCTTCTAAAAATTAGATATGCAAATTTTATGCATAAATATAATTTAACATAATTGCTGTTACTAAATCTACTGATTTAATTATGTCTAAGGAGTTATTTACAAAATCCTTTGAAAGGGGAACTAACAATTTAGATTGTTACTAAAAATCTCAAGTCTATCATGAAAACCCATCAGTTTTTAACTCATCTGTGGATAAGCATCTAGATAACTAAATTTTTATTATCTGTGAAGCATAACACATTCACAATCTTGTTTGGCTCGATAACCACATTTCATCCTTTTGGAATTGATAGCACCAATTTTGCCTGCTTAAGCGTAGGATAGAGAAGGTAGTTTCTCTGACGGCATGGGCAGAGATAAAGCTGGCAGGAAAATCTTATGTATTATCTGTTCGTGGAAAGACTACAAAATTTGCATTAATTTTCCTCTCCAGGAAAGAGAAAAATCAGGCATCTTTTAAATGATATAACCTCAAGGAAACTACTGTTATTTTCTAACTTTTTCTTAAAAAGTCCTCAAAATATTGCCCTCCGAGTTAGTAATATTAAGATATACCTTGCAGATCTTTTCAATGCTTGGTCAGTTTGAAGTCTCCAGAAAGGTGGGTTATTTCAGATGAGCATTTCTTCTTTCCTGGGAGAGCGGAGGTTGGCTTTGCCTGTCCATTAGAGACTGCTTGGTCCGTGGTCACTTTGAGACAACTGTGGCCTTACACTACTCTCATCTGTCCTCTTACTCCACTCGGCTATATTTGGTAACTGAACTCATGTTTCAGCAGAGTGCCACAATCAGGAATTCTAGCAGTGGGCTGGGAAACAGCCCCAGGTCTGAGGGTTCTTAGAAATTAAAGCCACTTAGTATAAAAGGAACTATTTTTATGCATCTAGTAAGCATAGAATGTTTCTTTATACTCTAAAAGATTCCGTTCAACATATTCTTAATCAATTACTAGTATGTGATTCCAAATAGAAAAAAAACAACAACACTCTTAAGGAAGACTTCTTATTATAATCTGCTCTGTGCATTTAGCTTTTAGTCATGTCGTAAAGTATCCTAAAATAGTAAATGTAATAACTATTTAAAAATTTAACCACCTGTCAGATTGAATGGAGAGTCCGACTGCTTTCTTACTTCATATTTTTAATTAAAAATTGTCCCATGATTGGTGTGTACTAAAGAGTCCAAAGCAGGGTGAAATGGGAATGAACATACAGGGACTGAATCTTACCTATGTTGCAATGAGCCCACTTATATTTATAAAAAATGTTTCTCAATCATTCTATCACTTATCCTGTAGCATCTCATTGTAACATGGTCTAATATTTAGGCTTTGTAAATGTAAGTAGAAGTAATAAGAACAGAAAGCTTTTCTGATCCAAGGTCAGGTATCAGAACCCAAACTAAGGGGACTAAAGTAGTCATACAAAAGTTCATAGTTAAGTTCCTGAGTTTCCCTTGGTCTTAATAATATAATCACATTTGATCCAGTTTCATATCTGAAGAAATTCTTTCCTGATAGTGGAAAATTTATGAAGGTCTGCTCCTGTACTTTTCTTTATAGACAAAACTTATCCTTTAAAAATGGTTCTTCTTGAAACAGGATACTCTGCTGGGCCGTTTCATCAGTCACATTAATATGTCATTTAGAAATTTATTATAATAGGGGAAAGAAAACCCTCTGGTTGGTTTGCGTTATCCATTTGTGCTGTTATAATGAAATACCCTGACTTCTCACAATTCTGGAAGCTGGGAAGTCCAAGATCAAGATTTATTGTCTGGTGAGGGTCCCACCTCCGCTTCCAAGATGGCTCCCTAGACGCTGTGTCTTCTGAAGATGAGGAGCAGTGTGTCCTTACATGGTGGAAAGTAGAAGGGTAAGGGCAGTTGAACTCTTTCCATCAAGCCMTTTAATAAGGGCAGCTAGCTCACAAAATTCATCAATCACCTCCCAAAGGCCATTTCATGTTGAATTGGAGAATAAATTTCAATATAATGTTTGGAGGGGACAAAGCATTCAAACCATAGCATTAATTAAAGAAGTGTTTTTTTGACTTTTACCCCATAAGATAGCAATAAAAGCCACTGAAATGATAGAAATTAGAAGGGAAGAAAGTATAAGATGCCAGAAATGAAAATAAAATTGTTGGAAAATGATAAAAATGAGTTAAACTGAATCACAAACTTAAAAGCCTGCAGAAGGGGATGCTGATAAGAAGTGATTCACTCCAAAGAATCTCATAGACGTTTAGGAATTGGAGGCACCAGACTCCTCCTTGGAAATGAACTTTAATTGGCAACCCTGAGTATAGCTAGAAGTGACTGAGGCAGGAACTGRGAAAGAATCTCTAGAGAGCAATAGGAGCCTACTTTGCCATTTCTCCCTCAAGCAGGCCGGAGACTACTCCTTGCCATGTCTGGAGAAGATGGGAAACTTAAAACACCAGGCTACCCTCCCCGAGATGCAAAGCACAGAAGATGGAGGCACTTGAAGAAATTTGGGGGCTGGAGTTAGGATTGGTGATTGGAACAGAGGCTTCAAGTGTTATCTGGTGCTTTACTTCTTCAAAGAAAAAAGCCATATGGGAATGAGGAAAAATGGTAACCTTTGATCCACATGGTATTATTGTGGGTGCTCATTATATATAAATTATATGTGCAATTACATTAATATTTTTACTTTTTGGATTTGAGGAACACAATAATAAAAAAATTAAACAAAAACCTCCATGTATTGTAAGAGATACTGAATGTGGAAGAGATATGGAGTCAAAATGTTGTAACCTCTTTTTTTTTATTGGTTGCTCATGACAATACAATGATCTTGACATATCATACTGTTGTAACCTCTTTAAAATCTAGTTATGGAAAGAATTATTGAGATTAAACAAATGGTTAAAATACAATKACTTTATTATTAAATTAATTATTATAAATTTAAAAATGAATGTCATCTATACTATATTGCTCAATCTTCATCTCAAAGTATTAAAAGATTTTTTTAGATGTTGTTTAATAATAAATTGTGTTGGGAAGACACTACTAGCTTTTTTCTCTTCTTCTAGATGGGAATGTTCCAAGGAATAACTTTTGCTAATCTCACGTTAATTTGTAACCCCACCCACTGTGTGTGCTGAAGGTATGCACACTGTGTTAATATCCTACTAAGATATTACCATGGTAAAATTTTTTGCAGTTTCTAGAAATAGAAGAGATAGGCATGCAATTCATAAATGTTCATCAAAGACAATGGAAAATAATCACAAGTTATTGATCAATTAGGGATTCTTTTTTGTTGCAGTGGGCATTCATAATCAGATGAAAACATGTTTCCATGCCTCTTTGCAGRAAGTATAGCCAAGTTTTCTTATGTTTAGGCTCCCTTGTTGCAGGAGGAAATTCAAACTTTTTGAAATGGAAATAAAAAYGTTAAGTATTACCGATGTAAAAGTTTTCCAAATGACATTTACTTGTGTGTATGATGAAGACCATCCTGCTAGATTATCAGTAGGGAGCTGGCCTGGKGCTCGTAGGGGAAGATGTTGGTCACAGCCTGAGAGAGAGCTGGAGTCTCAGTGCCTGGAAGAACAGAGGGTTGTGGGTTCTGTGATTGGCAAGAACYCTCACATAGAAGGAACAAATGCCAGGGCATAGTTAGTCTGGCATAGGCACCTGGGCATCATGGCCTCGGAAGCTGTAGTGAAACAGGAGGCTATCTCTATGTTCTTGCAGACTCTGGGAGCTGGAACAGAGTCCAATGCTAATCAAGTGGCCTATTGACCAGAGGAGGCCTCTCCCACATTTCCCTAATTGCTTGTTCCCCAAATTCTGATATAATACCAGGGAATTGATAAAGCTAAAGCTATAATAAGTAAAAAAGAGGGGCTGCAGTTGTAGCTCAGTGGTACAGCACTTGCCTAGCATGTGTGAGGTACTGGGTTTGATACTCAGCGCCACATAAAAATAAATAAATAAAATAAAGRTATAAAAATGCAATAACATAGTTTTAAAAAATGTTAAAAAGAAGTAAAAAGATAAAAAGAAGAAAATATATATTTTACATAAATGGCTTGTGGTCCCAAAGTTAGATTTCATTTTGATAAAAAACAAATAATTTTCTTGTACCTTGTGAAGAAGGYAGCAAAACAGTTTTGTTTTACAAAAATATCAGAATCTGGACAATTGAAGTTCTTTTCCTTAGAAAATTTATAYCAGTAGTTTGACCAAAACTCTTAAGATAGTATAACAAGGTTCAATTGATATTAAGGCTGGGATTAGTGCATGGACAGTAATTGAGCCTCTCCTGTCTTTTCATATATACATCAGAGTCAATTTCTACGTGCACTGAGGTGGGAAAGTGGGCTAAAAGATCCCTTAATTGGGTTCCAATGTGATTATTATCTTTTTTTTTTATAAAAATTCCTGCCCTTTTGAARTTCTTGAATTTGTGTCAACCATCTTCCATCCCATTTTTTTCAATTAGGACTTTGGATCTAATTGGGTTCTCGAGTCTTTTCTTTATTCCAAGTCTTGCCACTATCTTGGGTGACTTTAGCACCTATTTGTCAATTTAGTTCATACCCTTGAATATTAGTTCTTGACCTGCTTATTCTAGTGAGTTTCATCTCCATTATTCTTTTTTTAATTTTTTTTAAATTGTATACAACACAATACTTTATTTATTTATTTATGTGGTGCTGAGGATCTAACCCAGTACCTCACACATGCAAAGCAAGCATTCTACCTCTGAGCCACAACTCCAGCCCCATTCTTCTTCTTTTTTTAAAAAAAATTATATATATATATATATATATATATATATATATATATACACACCCACACACACACACACACACACACTATATTTAGTTGTAGTTGGACACAATACCTTTATTTTGTTTATTTATTTATTTATTTTTTTTAAAAGAGTGAGAGAGAGAGAGAGAATTTTAATATTTATTTTTTAGTTTTCGGCGGAAACAACATCTTTGCTTGTATGTGGTGCTGAGGATCTGAACCCAGTGCCTCACATGTGCAAGGCAAGTGCTCTACCACTGAGCCAAGCCCCAGCCCCAGCCCCATCTCCATTCTTACAGAAGATGCAAACAGATTTGCTCTTCCTCCAAATTGGGTATTAGTTACTGTTACAGTTTGGGTGTGAGGTGTACCCCAAAGGCTCACTTGTGAAACAATGCAAGAAGGGTCAGAGGAGAAATGATTGGGTTCTGAGAGTCTTAACTTAATCAGTGAATTAACCCCCCTGATGGGATGAACTGAAAGGTCACTGAAGTGGTGGGGTGTGGCTGACGGAGGTGGGAATTGCGGGCGTGGCTTTGGGGTATATATTTGTATCTGGCAAGTAGAGGCCTCTCTCTCTGCTTCCCTCTGCCAAGCTCTTCTGCCATGATGTCCTGCCTGGCCTTGAGCTCCAAGGAATGGAGCTGGCCTTGTAGGAACTAAGACCTTTGAAACTGTGAGCCCTCAAATAAACTTTGCCTCCTCTAAAGTTGTTCTGGTTGGGTCCTTTTAGTCATAGCAGTGAAAAAGGTGACTAAAATAATTACCTACTGCTTCATAACAAGTATTACAAAAGTTAGCGCCTGAAAATGATACATTTTTTATCATGTGTGTCTCCAGTACCTAGGTGACTCAGGATCAAAGTATCTTGAGATTGCAGTCAAGAGGTTGCCTCCA